AACGAACGAAGAACGAACGAACGACAAACGTAAATTAACTTAACTTACTTATTATACTACCTACTACTTCTACCTACCTACACTAGTTGTTGTATTTATATACTATATATATATATATATATATATATATAGTTAGAGAGAGTGAATGAATGAAGCTATCTATCTTATTCACAAAGATAATGGTAGAGAGAAGCCAAAAGTTATCCTACTCGCATGGGACCATGCTGTCTATTTGCTCCCACAGGTAAATCTCAAGCTAGGAATATGTTGTAAATTCTTGAGTGTGGCGATAAACCTCATAAAATAAAATTTTCAAATAGCATGATCTATGTGCTTGACATCAAACAGGAATGTCTAATTTGTACAGGATAAGATCTAGGGGTGTGAACAACTCAAAATCTTTTTCTTTTCATTTGAATATAATCAATTAGCTCTTCCTAGTTAGATTAAAAAATTTCACATGAAAAGAATCATTCTCTTTTATCCGAGGGAGTTAATGTACAGTAAGCTCCCTCAGGTGCATGCTATTTATGCTCTAGAGAGAATAGGATGGATGATGGATTGATTTGCGTGGGAGAAGTGAATGCCATGTTTTTCCAAGTTTTATCGTCAGCGAATCCCCAAAGGCGTGAGAGAAAAGGTTTTGTGGATTGGGTGGATCTGTGTAGGCGTAAGAAGATATCTCGCTCTCAACCGTGGGATTAACACCCTCACTTTGTGCTGAGAAAATGAGCCGTCCGATTCATCTTCTCTACCTCTATCCTCCCATGCTCTAGGCAATAATACTGCCAAATTGTTTGTTAGGGGCTCTATAAATAAGTAGGGATGTTAGAGATGGAAGAGCAATACTATGACGTAAGAATGCTGGGGAACGGGGACGTATGCAGTGAAAAAGACGTTTTTGCCCTGCACATTGGATCCCTCCTTTCTTTCCTCTCTTTTTATTTTATTTATTTATTTATTATTTATTATTTATTATTTTTGTGACAAGATTGTGTTTATTAAAAAATATAGTAAAGTAAAAATCGTAATATTGAGCTAAATCCTCATTTTTTGCTAATGAGTATGTCACTTCATTTGCAGATCTATAGACATTTGTGAAAGAGAACTCCATTCCATGCATAAATCAACAATCTCTGCCTATATTGAAAAAATTTGCCAAGAGGGTTTGCTTTTTATTAGAGCACCAACTAATTACATTTTGAGAATCCCCTTCATCCAGCCAATGGTACCCCAAAAATTTCTCTTTGAACAATTTTAAGCTTTGTGGTGCTGCCTAGAACTCTTGTTTTTTTGCTGATCAAAACCACATGGTCCAGCAAATGAGAACAAGACTTGTCCATCCAAATTTCTGATATTCCTGTAATTCCTGGTTTTCCCAATGAGCACCCATCAAAATTCAATTTAAAGCATCTAGACAAAGGCGCACCTATATCTTTGGCTTCGCATGGAAGTAATTGTTTTTTATCATCTCTTTTAGATGTAACACAATATCAATTTTTGAAACATGAACTCTTTCCTTTGAGGCCGAAAACCAACTCCATAAATTATGCACAAGCCTTTTCCTCACTATCTCCTGATTCGAAAGAATGTTATCAAAAGTCCTTCTGGTGCTTTCTCCCCATATCTCCCAAAGCAAAGCTGTTCACAAACTCCACCACATGATTTGTCTACATTTAGATAGACAAGGCATTTCCAAGTTCATCCAGATATCTATGTGCCTAGCAAGCAACATAGAATGGATTCCAAGCCAATTGAAGGTCCAAACCCAAATTGAGGGTGCATACAGATAATGAAGGGAGAGGTGGTCACCATTCTCCTCGTCTTGTTTACATAATAAATAAACATTCACCAAGATCTTACTCCTTTTGATGAGTTTATCAAAACCCAAAAAAAAGCTAGCACTTTATGTGGAATTGGGACTTTCCATATATGTTTCAGATTTGGGCAGGACCATCTTATTCTATTATGGTACAATAATCAATATGTAGATTTCTGAGAAGGCTCAAATGATCTCATCATCATAGCTCTGAGAAATATAAATATCATGAAAATCTGCTAATAAAGAAATAAATTGTCTAATCACCAAATATGAATGTCTACTATAAGTACCATCCATATTCCATGATACCTTACCTGAAACCCTCCAAGTATATACCTTACATATCAAAGCATTAGGTCTGGTAACTCTGGTAATCAACTGAGGGCATAATAATTTTAGAGGGCACTCATCCATCCACTTATGGTGCAAAAAAATAAGCTTATCACCTATTCGAATTGTTCCTCTTATATTTCTGGTAAACTATCTCCCTCAAACGCATAATCCCCTTCCACATAGTCAACTTGGGCACGAGGCAAGTTGTTAGTGTTTTAAGCCTCGCTCCTCAGACTCGGCCTGAGCGTGAGGTGAGTCACTCAGATGAGTTTGAGTGGACTCGTCCGAGCGCTGCACATTTAAGAGAAAGAAATTAAAAAAAGAAGACAAAAAGAAAAAAATACCTGGATCGCATGTCTCTCTCTCTCTCACACCTCTCTCCCTCACCAGTCTCTCCCACCAACAACATCTTGCATCTCTCTCTTGCTCTCTCTCCCTCCCACCAATATCATCTCGCACCTCTCTCTCACACACACTCTCTCTCCCCGTAGCATCTCACGTCGAGCAGTACATCTCCTTATTTTCTTGAAGATGTACACAAGACTCACCTCATAGAGTTCAAGGCCGAGTAATTAGGCTGATTCTAAAGGCATTAACTAAAATATTTACTTATCAAATTCCCTGCCAAGGACAAAGCCCTTATTATACATGTAGCCAAATTCCTATACCAAATTCCAATAGATGGTTATCAGTGAGATTATATATTTTTTTGTTTTTGGGTAATTCAATGGGGAATAGAGGCCCCTACCCATTTTTTAAATGGTTAGGTTTTCTAAGTTGTCAATAGGATTGGAGAGCACGATGTCTGACTAAAACATGGAGGTACTACTACCACAACCCCAACCCCAACCCGAACCCCTTTCCCGTGAGAGTATTTAATTAGTGAAAGAAAGTCATAGAACACAATGTGATAAAGTACCTTGACAATTGATATAATCATGGTTGTAATCAACTTCAAGTGGGGAGAGAGAGCCGACAAGGGAGGAAGTTCTCACGCCGGTTCATGTCTTAGATTTTATTGTAAAAATCGCAAGTTAACATTGAAAATAAAGAGTAATTGATGTCTTGAGTTTCACTCAGTGCTCTAAAACTCGACGATTTCTGATCCTGATCACCCATTTGAATGGGAATTTGTCGGGACTGAACCAGTTCTAAGATGGTATTGGTCTCAGCTTAGTTCTCCATTTATATATTTTTATGTTTCTTTTTCTTAAGCTCATCTAATGTTTTCATCGGTTCCCTTGAAATCTTAATCCCATAAACCCCTATTTTAATTTTAATTTAATTTTATTTATTTATTAATATTTATCAGAATCACCAATTCGGATTGATCCAAACCCAATTCAAATCAATCCAATGATCCAATATGGATCTATGGATGAGTTATCTATCCCACCGATTTGAGTTTCAAAACACTAGTTTCATCTATCAGTTCAAGTTAACAATAGAAAAGAATGAAACTCGTTGAGGGAGCATGCTATTAGGAAAATGTGGAATTTTCAAATCATCGTTAAAGGTGCTTTTATTTACAGTCAAAGTACCTTGCCTGGAATTTTTTTCTGGACATTTTTCTTGGGAAGTAATTTCTCGACATGTCTTTTCTCATGTTTGGTACGTTGCATGGGTAAACTATTTCTTTTGTTTGGTATCCTATCTAAGATACTATTTGTCGTGAATTTGGAAACATGCCTCTTCTTTTTTTTTTACCATTCATTGAAAAATATGTTGATTATATATCGATACATGTCAAATGAAAAACATTTTTGTCATTCATGGCCTCTCTCCATATCTCTCTTTAGTTTACTTTTTAATCAATGCAAAATACTCTTGAAAGTAAACACAAACAAATACTAAATTATTACCTAAGCGTACGTTTGGCTTGTGTGAAACATGTTATTGATATAAAATTATTTACATATGCATATAGTTTATAGAAAAGGATTTCTTAAAACCATTTTTTTTTCTCATATTTGATAAACATGTCTAGAAAACCATGTGTAATTGATTTTATATTATTGGTTACTTGTTTTAATAAATTGTATTTCAAAAACCTTAAATGAAATCTATTTTAACCATTCATCAATAAATAGAATTTGTTGGTTACGTATGGACATTTACTTAATAAAGACAAATTTTTCGTTACAATCATTCTATCTTGCAAGAAAAACAAAGGTTTTAGATAAGGGAGTGTATACAATAAGATAATTTACCTTTGGTATAAGGTGGTCATAATTAATTGTAACCATCCGATAGGAACTCTGATAGCTTGAGTGTATCACAAAGTTCGAGAAAATTGCTTTTGAAGTTTGAGCTTAGTCAATGGAATAAATACAACCATCCAATTTTACATCTAATGGTCAAGATTAATTGTGACCATATTGTACCAAAGGTAAATAGTCTCATTGTATACTTTTCCTTTAGGTAATAAGTTGTTCAATAATTTATGGATTAACTTGTTGTATTTCAGCAAGAAAGAGGTCCACTACCCATGGTAGAAATGAAATTCAATACATCTTGTTATGGGGCTCTGATAGACCA